TAATTGTGCAATATCAATTGTATTTAATCATGCTTGAAAAGATACAGATATATATATGTCGTAAACTCGTATGACGATTTTCTTTAGTAAAGACGATTCGTAGAGACGGTAATGCAGAAAAAGGGAAGCAAGTATTCGAATAACTGTGTTGTCGTTCAAACTTAAAATGAAAAGTAAACATGACAATCACTCCTGGCGACTTTTATTGAGATAAAATATGAATAGTCATGACAGACAAAATAGGCACAAAAAAATCTATAAAACAGAAGTTTAAAATCTGTTTTCTTCACAACTATAAATCAAAACAAAGAAGATTTTATCAAATCGGTATTTGTCGTCATGCCGTTATTTATCTTTATCGTAGACCCAGGAGTCGGATGATTGTTTTTTCTTGTACAATTATTTGCATATATACTCACTTAAAATGTAAGATTATAAATTTATGGGATAGACCTATCTGGTCCAGTATTAACAGCTAGTTTCTCCTAAATGTTTCATTGGTTCTAGACTATATAGAATCCGTTGAAACGTTAGATTGTATAACATTTCAGTATTAAGCAAGAGAAAAACTTTCTTATGTTGAAGATCCATGGAAACCATTATAATTTTTATCGTTTATTCCAAGCGATCATCTAAATATTAACTTGTAAATATTAAGTTTTGTAGTTTAAAATATTTAGACCTCGCGCATTACTAAAGAGATATTAATTGTCGGGATGCGCATCTGGTGCAGGAAAAGTGGTACCGTTAATATTATTACTACCACTGGGTCGATACCTCTGCAGGTGGACTGTTAGTTTCCTAGGGTATCACTAGTCCAGTGAACTGCCATGAAATGCGGATATTGTTTTATTGAAATTTGATGTAGTTACAAAATCTTGGAAATCAGTTTAAATTAAGGAATTAAGGAATGTATCTCCCCCATGCATACGTCTGATCCTTTGTTTGGTTTTGACTAGACTTTTGGTCATTATTTTTTGTTTTATCAGATCTTCAACGTTTATATAACTAAAGGTTTTGGTGCTATAGTAAACCTTAGGGTAAATGCACATTTGACAATATCAAAATAAATTAAAAATGTTTAAGTGGCCAGTCTTTCAGTTGGAGACTTTTTCTTTTGACGTTCTGTTTAAAAAATTAAGTGAGGCATAAAATTGATAAATCTACATTATAAGGGAAAAATCTCCATAAAATTATCAAAATATTTATCAATTTGTATGAGAGATATGTATACATAAATAATTGAAAGACCTCAAGTAAAACATTTATTATAAGTTGTTCTTGCTTGATGAATAACATATTTAAATCCCTCATGGGACAAAAAATTAACGTACATGAGCACTGTAAATGGGTTATTATTTACTACAAATGCTCCCTAAAATTCTGGGTTTCCCTAATTACTGTCACTTTACATATAAGCTAGGAGCATCCGAACTGGAACGTTTTCAGATGATAATTTTTGATTCATTGCAGTAAAAATGGCGACCTCACAAAAAAAGGAATAAATAAACTTGGCCAGGTTATAACCAGAAACCTACTATTGCACTATAAAAGACATGGTAACAGTTTAGCTATAAGATCGCAACCCTAACGGTTGGCTGATATAGAAATATGGTCTCCTGAACTTCTCCAATTCAGCATAGTAAATACATGCCGAAGAGGGGCGACCACTTTGGTGGATTGGTTGTACATTCACGATTAGTTCGAGTTTTAGGAGTTGAAATCGATGTCTCGTTAAGAGAAATTGCCATGATTAGAGAAAAAAGGGATATGTAGGTGGCTTATTGTACAGACACATTTCTACCGCTATTTAAAACTACCATTATTTTCCAGTGCCCGACTAAATTCCCAGGCCTTTACCTGTCGACCCATTTTATAGTGCCTACCTTTAGGTTTCATGAGTTCCAGATTATATAGAATCAGTTGAAACTTTGGTTTTAATAACATTTCAGTATTAAGCAAGAGAAATATTCATGCTTTAGTTAAAATAACGTTGCTCTTATACCATTTTAATATTTACTGTAGGTGTATATAACGTTCGCTTCTAACAAAGGAAACTTTCTAACAATTCGTATCCCCCAAAAAATAATTATTAACACGAACGTGTAAACTCTCTTATGTTGAAGATCCATAGAAACCATTCTAAATCTTAATCGTTTATTCAAAGCGATCATCTGAATATTAACTTGCAAATGTTATGATTTTTGAGTTTTAAATATGTAGTCCTATCGAAGAGAAATTATTCGTCGAAATGCAGTAAAAGTGGTGCCGCTAATTTTATTACTACAACAGGGTCGATGGCTCTGCTAGTAGCTTGTTAGTCTCCGAGGGTATCAACAGCCTAGTAGCTTGTTAGTCTCCGAGGGTATCAACAGCCTAGTAGCTTGTTAGTCTCCGAGGGTATCAACAGCCTAGTAGCTTGTTAGTCTCCGAGAGTATCAACAGCCTAGTAGCCAACGTACTTCGGTACTGGCATGAAATACGGATATTGTTTCATTTAATTTGCTGTAAATATAAAATCTTGGAATTCATTTTAAATCAAAGAGTGCATACCTCTGATCCCTTACAAAAATAAAAAGATGTGGTATGGTTGCCAATGAGAATACTCTCCACTCACTTTCTTGATCCAGTAACGGGTTTTCGCTATACTTTTGGTCATTTGTTGGTTTAAGCAGCTCTTCGACGTTTAGATATAAATAATATATGTACATTGTCGGAAAATATAAAATTTATTTGTATGAGCTTTAGAAACAGGACGAAAAGCGGGGCTCGCCGAGCTTTTTCTCCTGTTTCGTAGCGAGCACAAATAAATTTTATATTTTCCGAAAATGTACATATATTGTTTTTATCCTGAAATTTACACCCAACACTTGAAACATAAGTTGTTAAAATCTAAATCATTGTCTCTAAATTTTCAAAGAAATCGACATAGTTTAAACGCGGACCGCGAAGAGGACCCGTAAAATGAACTGGTACTCAAATAGAAACATCCACATTACCGCTAGCTCAACATGGAAGCGGGTTGACAGGAGACTTTTGTTTGTACAAGTACAAATAAAGCAAATATTTATTTGTGTACCTGTTATTTGTACAATAGTTAGCTGATTGCAGGATAAAACGTTTTAGATTTTCAAATATGTTGGCCTCGAGCATCAACGAAGAGATATTTATTATCGCAGTAAAATTGGTACCATTAATGATAAAGTAAACTTTTTGGTAGATGCACACAAGACAATATCAAAATAGATTAAAAATAATTAAGTAGTCTTTCAGTTTCTCAAATTTGGCGTTCTGCTTTAAAAATATAAGTGAGGCTTAACATTGTATAAATCTACGTTATTAACGAAAAGAATCTCGATAAATTTATCAAAATATTAATCAACTTCTTTGTGAGGTATGTATACATAATGAATTGAAATACCTCAAGTAGAAAGTTCATTATAAGTTGTTATTTCTTGGTGAATAACATATTTAAATCCCTTATGGGATATACGAAAAAAACGTACACTAGCACTGAAAATGGGTTATTATTTTCAACAAACGCCCCCTAAGTCTGGGTTTCCCTAATTACTGTCACTTTAAGTATAAGCCTGAAGCCTTCGTACTAAATGCAACGCTTGAAAAGTCTATAGATGATAACTAATAATTCAATGCAGAAAAAATAGCAACCCACTATAAAAAAAGGTATAAATGAAATAATGGTATAACCACAAATCTAGCATAACACGTTAAAACATAACAGAAGCTTTTGGGATCGCAACCCACTAACACTATTCAACCAAATCAGCCAGCAATAGGTCACTAATCAGCCTTCAATAATGGCAACCTTATGGGTTGACTGGTATAGAAATATGGTCATCTGGACTTATACCATTCAGCAAAGTAAATACATGCTAAAGAGGGGCGTACGGTGTGTACGCTCACGCTCAGTTAGATTTTCAAGGTGTTGAAAAATTAAAATCGATGCCACGTTACATGAGATTACCATGCTGAGAGAAACATTACAACTCAGTGAGGGGTCTGTAGGTGGCCTATTGTACAGACACATTTCTACCGCTATCTTACATTTTTTTTTTCAAGTGTCAGAGGACTAATGTCGACTCACCTGTCGACCCACTTTACAGTGCCGACCTATTATAGATTCAATCGTATTATCGTGTGCATGAACTATTTGCCACTGAACGTTAAGCTTAAAAACCATTGATCAGACAATCAACAATTGACAGACATCCACACCGTATAACCGAGTTCAGAAAAGTTGTAGATAAATTCAACAGTAACGACCACATATTTGAAACCAAAATCTGTTACAGTCGTCATCAGTATTTATCTGTAAATCTGATGTTTCTCGAAAAATATAACATCTTTTTCCATCCTTTCATTTATTGAAATGTCTGAAGAACTTAATCTAATAAAAATATACTTAATTTAGGAGAAATTTCTTAAATCTGTCAATAGCAAGGGCAACAGGCGATACATACTCGCTAATTCAGTTTAATGTTTCTTTCTTCCAATGATCTGGCAATTTCACTGGACTCTCACAAGTAATGTCAATTTCAATTATATTTTATGGTGAGATTTAAAGAAGGGTCTAATGAGTGTTATCTATGACCATCAAGATATCACATGAGACATTCATTGGTAGGGTTTCTGAAATCATGTAGCGAGGTTAAACCAAGGGTTTTTTTTATATATCAAGCCTTCATAGAAGAACATGCAATAAAATCAGTACAAGAAAGGTATTTCATCCTATAATGACAATACAGTAGGTAACAATAACTCAAGTTCAAACAAAAAATTATAATAAACTACTACAGTAATAGTACGTAAGAAACAGAGTCCAATTGTTCTTTTTTTAAATTTTCACTTTAAATTCATATAGTTAACACGAAAGAATGATAATAATGACCTTTCCTACCTGCTACATAGTATGTCCATTTATGTCATAATCAACAACGTATCTATTCCCCGATAAATAATTACTGAATTCATTACGTTACCTTGAAAGAGTCCATTGTTCTGCCAGTAAGTATATACCTAGTTTCAAATTTATTGATTTATAAATCCTACGCGTCTACAGTTCGTAAGTCTTAATGGTACAAACAATAAAAATAAATTCAACTTACTGGAGCGTTTGAATTAAACTTTTGAAAGGTATATACCCGGATTTTATACACGATTATTTAACCGACCATATCTGTTTTCTTACATTGTTGTCAAAACTTTGTTATCGATTCTAATTGAAGTTTAGAAAACCGTTTTGTTTTTGTTTGTATATCCATAAATTAGGAAATGGGAATGGTCTTAACATTAGCTAAAACAGCCTCGTTTTCATTATTGAATGACACGACATTAAGCAATCATCAATCAATAATCGTTAATGATTGATTGATGTTTGGTTGGTTACGTCAGTGGCAAATATTTCATGCATGTTCACGACGAAATAATCGTCAATGAGTTGAAATGTGATAATTCTTCATTTCTGCAGAAATTTGTCATTTGAAGAAATGAACGCATGCACAACACTGCGGAAAAGTGGTTTATGAATCATAGGTAATCGGCTTAGAAACTTTTCTACTTAGGAGTAAATTTCCTATATATACCCTTCATCCAATATTATTCCAATTGAGATGCTATACAGGAGCACAACCTCCATTTTTTTTGTTATGTGACATACTAATATGAAAACAAGGAGCATGTTGGCTCCATGTTTGATTCTATTGGGTCACCCTGAAGTATTTACAATTTTTTGGGATTTCATTTGACCTTAAATATAATAGCCATACTTATTATATCTATGACTTGACCAAATTGTTTTGTCTATACCCGGAAGACATGGTGTAAATACCAATATTTAAAATCCACTTAAATCAATTCTTTGAGTGATCTGCATAGAAATCAGATTTGTTCATCTTAGATCATAAATAGATAGGTAACTGTCAGGAAATTTAACATGGTAAACAAACTAAACAAGAAGATAAAATTTAACATGTAAACCAAACTACAGGATATTCATTGCTAACAGAAAACTAGTATCGAACAGAATTGTGTCGTAAATGTTCAAAATATAGGGATATTTGAGCTGATTTTATATCTTTATTTCTCAACAAACCAAACTACATTGGTATACAGATACACACAATATATATATTGCATAATACGTACGAAAGACTTAAAAGAATATGAAGACAGTATCCATGTGTTTCTAATTCATAAAAAGAAAGCATTTGTTAGTTGATAGTTTAAGGGGGGGAAAAAGTCTAAATTTAATCGCCCAGATTAATTCTAGTCTTTGTTCTACCTCAAATTTTTATAAGACGTGTTTATGTGAATATAATTCAGAGATTATGCCGAAACATCAAGTTTTCTCCGAATCTTACAAAATATTTATGAAATAGAAAGTTTTTAGAATTGGATTAAACATTGATATAACCTATATTGATCTTAAAGTCGTGTTTGCGTAAGCGACGCTTTATTAAATTCAATTTTATAATGTGGATTATGTCAGTAAAAGGCTAAGAAAAACTTCTAAAACCAAACATAATAAGACGATTATTTCAATGACTGTTTAAAGTCGTGATGTTTTTGTCTCCTAAACAACGTCATTAATTCATAAGACCCCCAAGTACGGTTCCAACTGTAAATATTACATGGATCTGGTGGAATAATTCCTCTGAAAACATGAGGCTGTTACAATATGACTCTATACATATATAAAATTTTTGATAGCGAATTTTGATATGACAATTTTTGAATCGTGTCTAAAGGGTGGATTTAATGTCAGGATACAAATGTGACTAGCACTACCTCGTGAAAGGTAACTTATGGGGCCTAAATAAATGATCTCCATCGACTTACAAAAGCAGCTTACTCGATCATGACGATTGCATAATATAAATAAGCTATAAATAAAGTATATAAACTAACCTCTTTAAATTGCAAGTCCGTATTTGACAGAAACTTTATCTGCATATGAGTCTTTTTAGAAAATTGATTTAATATCTATCACCGTGTTAGAACAGGTAATTTGTCACGTGATAAGAACAAACATTTTATTTATTTACACTCTTTTGTTAACATTACAATAAGTGGTGGTATATATTTGTTTTTTAATCATACTTTTGTTATTTGATTATAAATACCTTAACCAATTATAGTATTGCTAAATTTTCAAATAAAAGCTTAGAATTTGAGTATGATTTTAATCTGTTTGCCATAATTTTATAGTTGAAATCATGAATGTTTAATATATACAAAAATATAGAAAATCGTCAGTTAAACCAACCTCTTTGGTTAAACAAATATTTAAAAAAAAAATGACAAAAGATTCGTACACTTAGGTCGAAATTGATTATATACTGGGACAAATATTGGTCCCAGTTATATATCATACAAGGCTATAAGACGCCAATTACTGGCGTATGCATTATGGATGCTAATGTAACCCTACGTCCTGTTTGAGACTTATGGGTACCTTTTCGAGAAATGTATATTTTATAAAATGTAGGCTTCCCACGAAGACATCTTTTTCTAGGTGCCATCTTAAATCTTCTGTCCCTACTAATATTTTTATTTATTTTAAAGAAAAGTCACATATGAAATGGTGTCTCGAAAGAAAAGGAAAAGAAGAGATAAATGCATGTGTATGTTTCTGTTTGTTTATATTTTCAACAACGTCCTTTTAAGTTTAACCTCAGTCCGCACACCTAGGCTACTGACGGCAATCGGCTGCGACATATGCATTAAGATGCACAGGACAAATTCTGCTGTACACGAGTGCAAAATACATTGTATTGCATTAGGTATCGGAAACGCAGACGAAAATCTGATGTACGCTGTTGCCAAAACAAGTGGTTTTAATAGCATCGCGGAAAAGATCATGTTTTATATGCCGATAATATTGTCTTCTCCTTTGATAGTAATATGTCAATCGGAATAATCCTTTAAACAAATGTGCAACCTTCGATCGTAGTATTAGCAACGGAATAATGTACAGCCTTCGATTGATTGTATTGGTGTTTAGAGAATGAAGTATTGTAACAGTTGTTGATAGTAATATTGCCATCGGAATAAAGTCCTTTAAAAACATGTGCAAAATATGAATTAAACTGAAACAATTTATTCTGTATGTGTCTGTCCAAAATCAGGAGCCTGTATTTCGGTGGTTGTCGTTGGTTCATGTCTGTCCAAAGTAAGGAGCCTGTATTTCGGTGGTTGTCGTTGGTTCATGTCTGTCCAAAGTCAGGAGCCTGTATTTCGGTGGTTGTCGTTGGTTCATGTCTGTCCAAAGTCAGGAGCCTGTATTTCGGTGGTTGTCGTTGGTTCATGTCTGTCCAAAGTAAGGAGCCTGTATTTCGGTGGTTGTCGTTGGTTCATGTCTGTCCAAAGTCAGGAGCCTGTATTTCGGTGGTTGTCGTTGGTTCATGTCTGTCATTATATTTGTTTAATTTTCGTAAACTGTTGTATACATTCGACCGTAATTTTCTCGTTTGAATTGTTTTACATTTTTCATGTCGGGGCTTTATAGCTGACTATAAGATATGGAGTTTTCTCATTGTTGAAGGCCGTACATTGGCCGTTAATTGCTTACATCCACTTCATGTGAACTATGGTGGATAGTCATCTCATTGGCAAGCATACCACATCTCCTAGTTTTTATATTAATCTGTCTCATTATGGTGAAATTGGAAGAACCTTTATTAGAATTGTCTTTAGTTGTCAGTCAGTTATGAAAAAGGTTGAGTGCGAGCGTATAATATGAGACACGAAGAGTTCTTACAGTTCTGGAGTAGTTGATAGTTAAAACTTGATTTATTATTCATTAATATTTCATTTGATTCTGACTACTACGGTGTTCATCATTGATTGGAGTAAATCTTAATTTTCATCAGAATTTTCAAAATACTAACAACTCTGTAAATGTAGGGAGGGACTGCCGGAACTTAAAATGTAATTTTCAATAAGATGGGGTTGTAAAGCACTGTGAAAGTAAAGCACTGCTATATTTTTTTACATCGTGTAGACACTAATTGACAGCTGGTTTTCCACCGTTCTAATTTAAATTCTCACATACTATGTAAACATGCTTTCGCCGTCAGTGAAATGCATAAAATGATGACAGTATGTGTACCAAAAATACTGGACAATAGAAAACAGAAAACTAACGACCGACTCCACAGAGTAAATAGACGCACTTACGAAGACAGACAAAAAGTACAACACATGGTCCAGATAGCCTGACTTGGTGCAAACACGAAATGTGGTTGGGTTAAAACAGTTTCACGTGCGCACAAATTTACCTCTTTGTCTGTATAGACCATTTGTCATATATAAAGTGCAATACCCATTAAGAAATCTCCAACATCCCAGCAGGATGACCATTGACTCTTAATTTGTACGTCACACATCCGATCTACGCTTTGAATATGACTAGTGAAAATAAGTCACTTTCTAAGTTGGCGCGCATCTGAACAATCTGTAAAGGTAGATGCGATTGTTTTTTTATTGAATTAAGAACATGTTTTTCTAAAGACGCGATCTGTAACAAAAATCTATGAAAATACAGCGCGATTTCTTACGAAGCTTTGCTGCATGTGTGGAAACTAATTGACAAAGGTTTGCTGAAATCATATAACAGAGTAATAATTAAAACTTAAGTATAGAAAAAAAAACTGATAGACCAAAAATGTTTGATTAATTCCACCCCTTTGACATTTCATGGCGCTTCAGTTGATTTTTTTTTAAATGAGGCAGAAGATTCCAAAAGGTACTTTTAGTTCATTTATATGTTTCGGAGTTTAGTGTGACGTCCATTTTCACTGAACTTTTACACATTTTTGTTTAGGGGCCAGCTGAAGCCGGTCTCCGGGTGCGGAATTGTCTCACTGTGTTGAAGACCCATTGGTGGCCTTGGGCTGTTTTCTGCTCTTTGGTCGGGTTGTTGTCTCTTTGACACATTCCCTATTTCCACTCTCAATCTTATACATGAATATTTGGTCTCTTGTGGAAAGTTGTCTCATTGGCAATCATACCACATCTTCTTAGTTTTATATAAACATGAAAATCACCACAACAATCGGTTGCGTTTAAGATTAGTATGTTGTTTCGCGAAT